TTTCGAGCACTAAATAAGTGAATTTTTTTCAATCCTCATCAACGATTCAAAAGTGACGCACAAAAAACGGTTTTTCACTTTCTTTAATTATTTAAACAATTTTCCGCTGTCGGAAGTCGCGCTCAAACTATTGTCCTAATATTCTGACATACTTCCAAACAATTTTCAATAATATTTTCCCAAAACAGGCCTTTTAAATTGTAATCTGACTGTAGTATAAGTATTAAGTTAAGTTTTCACCTCCTAGCCGTTGTATTCATTTATTTATTTATTTATTTAAATCTCAACAGCTGTAAGCCACTTACAAAGTCAGACCGTATAACAACACCACATTTATTACATTCAATATTTGAACACATCATTATATTTAAAAACATACAATATGGTTTCCCAGAGTCTAGTTTCCCCGAGAGAGCTAAGTACGTGCAGAATAAAAAAATATATTCTCAGCGTCCCCTAACTCATTACAAGATCTCATGATTCTTTGGAGGGTTGAAAACTTCGACAGGATGTGTATCCACATAACGACATTTAATGCAGCAACTTACATCATATTTAGAAAAAACCACTGCGATATCCGTTTTTAGTGATTATTTTCATCTATTCACTTTTTAGAACTTCATTGGAGAAACAATTAGAGCATTCTAATTTATACCATTAATCAGTGCGTGTGTCTGTGTGCCAAAATGTGTCTAAATTTCTTTAGATTATTAAAAACTCACTAGCACTAAAATAACAAAAACTCTCAACAATAATGTATTATTGATAATATATAATATAATACTGTATTATCCTACTATTGTTACACAATTTATTAACATACTCTTTTTTAGGTCCATTTAGGTTCTTTTGATAACGATAGCAGCAAATAGCTATCGAAACGTTAAGGTAATTTTTCAAATTAATTTCTTTACTAATTGGAATTTTTTCTTACAGCTTGAGCCTAAGTGTGTCGCAGGATACCTTTTAGGTGATAGTTCTCGATTACTTTTTGATAAATAATTCGTTCTTATTGCGAAATAGGAGCCCTATTTATCAATATGTAATAAAAGACGTGAGGAAATTCTGTCTTTTTTAAAGACAAAAATTTTTGAGGTAAAATAGGCAAACAAGAAGTTGAACAAGAAGAAATGAATCCGCCTCAACAATATAGAACTTATCAAAAACTCTCAACTCAAATAACAAAAAAAATTTGGAAATTGAAAAACTTTTCTTCGTGTACACTGATGTGCATATGATATACATGTGATATCTTAATTGGTGTCTATATTTCGCATAATAAATTGCAAAATATCGATGGTATTGCTTTAAACTCGTTCTCACACAGATCGAAAGATATAAAATAGTAATAACAGTGCACTAATACAAATTGCCAGATTCTTTCTTAGATATCTAGTACAGATTACATTAATACTTGCAATATGTTAACTTCCATAAATACACCATTTTTATTGCGTTTATATTAACAAGATTTCTTTCACTATGGCTATCATGCTTCGCCTAATTAAGGAAAAAAATAGTTGATGAACTTTACTATGCTGCATGCCTACCCACTCTTTGTTTAAAATAAACAACCTCGGGCGTGTATTATTTAGATACATGGGCCTCCTTTCATTTTATCCTTTTACCTTTTTGTATTTATTATTTGCCATACCATGTTCATTTGAGTTATAACTATTTGCACAATTTTCAGAATATGTCGAAATACAAGTTCTTGTTCTATCTAATTCCACTCTTGCAATGCTGATTTTAATTATTTTTTTTCCGATAAACGTTTCAACGCTTCATCGGTAATATAAAGAAAAATTATGCGATTTTATGTCGGCTAACGCTTGGGGATAAATGAACTAATAAGTAAGTGTATACAATACACATTTGATGACTGGCAAATTGTGTAACAACTCGTGTGAATCTTAAAAGGAAAAGTTGAAGCATTGAACGCAATAAAAATTTAGTCGCCATATCCCCATATCCGTAGTGCTGCATTTTTAATGCGTTATAAGTATATGGCAACCGTATTTTAGATGAAAAAGGAATATGATTTAGCTAAGCAACCTACATGTTGCATATTGCTGAAGAACAGRAWTTTTTCTGATCGTTTTTCTTCTATTGCTTGATTCCGACTATTAGCCTATTTAAATCCATCYGGATCAAAACAAACATCAACTTAAAATTCTTCTTTGAGTGCCGTCTCCTTCTTTCCTTGCATAATTAATCTAAGCATCTCATACCGCTATCCTCTCATTATATTCCCCAGATATTGTCATTTTCTTGCCTTTATGGTGTAAATTGCTTCACATTATTTACCCATTTCTTGAAGTATATCCATGTTTGTTCTTCGTTCTGCCTATGATATTCTGAGCATTATTCTGCAATACCACATTTCACATGACTGCCTTTTGATTTTGTGCTCCTGATTAAGCGTCCAGCCTTCTAGTCCATAATAAAGTACGGCAAACACATAGCATGTTAAGTTCTCACTCTTAGTTCTATTGGAACAGATGATTGATTTCAATTGCACAAACGCATTTCTTGCTGTTTCTATTACACTTCTTATTTCCGTTGTTTGGTAGTTGTTTTCTGCAATCCAGGTGCCCAGGTATTTGTGTTTTTGAACCCTGTCGACCTACAAAATTTTTGTTTGATTGTATGTTTGATGTCTTCGTTATTATCATATTTTGATCTTGCTTATGTTTAGTTTTAGTCCATACTGTTCACAAAATGTATCACTTCTGTATTATAGTCTGTGGAGTTTTTCAGTGAAGCTTACTATAATCGCTGTGTTGTCCGATAATCTTATATTGGTTATAATTTTTCCGTTTACCATTATTCCCTCATTTTCAGATAGTAGTGCATATTTTTAAAACCTCCTTATTTTCTACCTCAATTTCCCCTAGTTCAAACAACTCGTTCAAATATTCTGGCCATATCTTTAGTTTCTGATTTGTATCGAAAATTCGCCTTCCGTTTACATCCATGAATATTCCTGGTTTTCCTTTTTTATTAGTTAATAATTTATTTTATCTTTTCGTGGATGTTAAAACAGTCACGCTTTCTCTGGTACTCCCCCATTTTGCCTTCGCTTGTTTTATTAGTTTACTTATCTCTAATGCCTTTCATCCATTATATGGCCTGAAAAGTCGATTTATGTCCAAACTTAACTTAAATTTTGGAATTTTTTTAAATTTCTTTCCTAGTTTTTCTACTGATAACTTCAACTGATAACTTTCCAAAGTCGAAAAGATTTTCGCAAACTTCGGCATTCAACAATCCGCATTYCAAMAATTTGTTGTTTCCAACATAGAATATATAAACCGTCTATGTTTTTTTCSGCATKCGAAAGAGTTGTTTCTCAATSCTATGGAAGCTTGGTTTATWTCGAGACTCGAGACTGGGGGAAAATTATCGGGATTTGTATTTAATGTTTTGCAAACTTCYTRTTCAACAGAAAKCCGCATTTCGAAAACTCGTTACTTCCAACATARGAGGAATAGAAGCGTGAATGTTTCTTYGTGAATCTTGYAGACAATGAGTTTTTTTCAGGCTTTTAGACTGTCGTAGAAAAKAATTTCCTTCCGACGATTCACTAGCAGCAGTACTTTGCATCCTCCGCAGTGCTTCGCTCTAATTTTTTCGAAAATCTYTATGTGAGTYACTTGTGATTACAAAACATTGTCAAATTTGTTTTCCCGAAAAACAAAACTCTGACCATTTTAAAAATGAAAACTGATGTCAATTGAGATTCTGTGTTGTACTGCACAAGTTCGGTGAAAATTGCGCAATTCTGAGGTAAAACGCATATCATGAGCTAACGACGAATTGATATTTTGATCGGTTCTTATATCGTTGGTTTGGGAACACATTAGAAAAACGAAAGTATGATAAACTATATATAATATATAAATAATTTTTATTTCCTCAGAAAAAGGCTATCGACCCAATTGATCTTTCTGCCCTTGTTTAGTACCTGTGTCTTAGCCTGTCTTAACTATTCCTAACACTTGTATAAATTAATCAGCTATAAAAAAATAAGAAAATTAAAATTCTTGGCTTACAAAACAAACAGGTCTTAGATCTTAGATAAACTATTAGAACATAAAACTAAACTATGATATATTTTTTATTTGCCAGTTAATTTCAACTGTTACCTTTGGTCACTTACGCAAGATGCAACAGGTATTTACCTACTTATGGTTAATCGAAGGAACATTGTTTTCGTATGAGATGAAATACATTATTTCAAAACTCTTGATTTAATTTTTAGTGAGAATAATTTTTAACTAATTTCACTCTGGCTCTCTTGAAAAAATGCGTCAATGGCAGAACGAGTCAAAACGAATGTGATATTGAACAGAAACAAAGTTGCTATAATTTCATTTTTAGGTCACCCAAAAACTAAAGTTTCTTTGATTATACCATTTGTCAATAGTCTTTGTTATAAACATAAAATATACCCTGGGTAGATATTTTTTAAAAATAACCCTGATTAATTACCCCATTGACCCCATAGTAAAAGAATAGCGTAAATGATTGTTTACCAGTAACTTTCCCTACACTTAATATTACGTGCTCGAACACAATGAGCGAGAATTTAGAAACTAAATTATTTATTTCGGTACAATAATTACAACAATTAGCATTCAATCTAAATCGGCCATTTCACTCCCAGTCATAAAACAAACGATTTGAATCCACTGTGGGTGCGATCTCACGGCAATTTTATTGCATTTGGAACGACATCACTAACTTACAAATTGAAATAATCCTTTTGTTAAAAATCCATTGTAACTCTCATTAAAAAAATCGATTACACAAGAAAACACAGCTTGGTTTTAATAAATGAAAACGTTTGTAGACTATAACTTAGTGGGTGCACGATGCAACAAGTGAGTCAGGTTTTCAGAATCATTAACTGTTAACTGTTAAGATTAATAGCATTCTAAATTTTCGGGTTACCGTTTTGCGGGTTATGACGGTTGAAAACATAAGAAACCCAAAGCTTTATAGAAGTATAAGGGAGTTTATTGAAACAGTAAACAATGTTGTTAACAAACGTATAATTTTAAAAGTTAATAAAAATATATTAAATTACACTGTATATTTAAAAATACAATTTAAACTAATCTTAACAGAATTAAGATTTTATGAACTCTGTGCTGGTTTTTCTTTGTAATGTATGACACCTTTCGCTATCAGGTCTGGTATTTCTACTGCCAACCATGGGCCCAACTGTAAAAAATTGCATTCAACAAACTGCTAAACAATTGTAAATCAAGTGAAACATTCAGGAAAAGGACTATTTTTAATACTTCGCATTGCCGCGTAATGTTTCATTCAGGTATTTGCTTTTTTGTAATATATCTATAACCATTAAAATGATGCATCAAACAAACAACTATAAAATTTAATTTTCTCATTGAACTGTAATTTTGAAAATAATTACAAACGGTCGCTTATGCTCTTTTCAATACATGTTTTATATTGCATATTAAGATCAATTAATGTCGGTATAAAAAAATTTTAAGTTTAAATCTCGGGTTTGCCTGTGTAAGACTGAAGTTTATCACCAATTATATCGATATATGTCAGTCAAATACAATGACCTTTTTCTTTTTATCAATTTGGATACAGGGTGTCCCATCGGTATTAAATAGCTTGACTGCATATACACTGTTAAAGAAATGCAAAAATATAGGGTGCCCCGTAAGCACATGATCAAAAGGGTACTGCGACATTCTTTGGACCAAAAGCAGACGATTTGGCCTAACTTTTATTACTCCTCTGCGATTGATGATCAAAGTTCTTCAAAACATTTTTATTTTTTGAAATATCGGGAGAATAGTACGATGTATTTTGTTGAAACGAGCTGTGAATTTGTTCTTATGTAAGACATATATTTTGATGAAAGACTTGAAACAAACTTGAGTGTGGTGATACAAAAAACTACCAGAACTTTTTATTTGGTGGATGAACAACTATTTTTTTTTGGTTGATGCACTAATAATTAATTCACAATTTTGTGCTCTTTGTAAAATCATGTAGCACTCATAGTTTTTGCGTAAAAAAATATATCTGTTTTCTTACCACTTTACAATGTTAGACATTAACTGCAAATATGAGCCGCGTAAACGGGCACCCTTTCACGCAGAGTTGTCTTCGTAAAACCGTAATACTTTGACACTTCTTCATTCGAACAGGTCATTCGAAACGAATTTGTGATATTTATTGACAATTAATTTATGCCGCGTATCACAAGATTTGCAGTTAATGTATAACATTGTTTAGTGGCAAGAAAAGGTAAATATTTTTTTTCGCTAAAACTATCAATGCTACAAGATTTTAAGAAAGAGCACAAAATTGTGAAGAAATTATTAGTGCATCACATGCAAAACAAAATGAGTGGATTTCATGCACTAAATAAAAAGTTCTGGTAGTTTTTGTACCACGACACTCAAGAATTCACCACTTGTCCAAAAGGGATGAACTCGATGTTTCATCAAAATATGAATCTTACGTAAGAACAAATTCACAGCGAGTTTCACCAAAATACATCTTACCATTCTCCGGATATTTTAAAAAAGATATTTTTTTCGAAGAACTCTGAGCATCAATAGCGGAGGTGCCAGACATTTCTTGTTAATAAAAGTTAGGTCAGATCGTCTTCTTTTGATGCAAAGAATATCGCAGTATCCTTTTAATCATGTGCTTACGGGACAACCTGTATAAAATATCGTCTTTCCTTAAAGTACTACCGACAGAAACGTTGGTTTTTCTTAAAAAAATGCTTTTGTTCACAATTTGCACCCCACAGTCTAGAGGTGTGCAATTCGAATCTTTTTAATGATTCGTACTTGATTTTTAACTGAACAGCTGTACTCATAAAATATTAAGGGCCGTTTGCACCGTTTTACATTAAAGCCAAGCTTAAATAAACCAACCTTAAAAATTAAGCTCGGATTTAAAGTAAACGGCTTGCATCGTTCCAATATGTAGTTAGCTTTGTTAAGTCGGTGTCAAGCAGTATCTGTTTGCCATATGTGGAAGTATAGCCGTTTGCTGCCATGATACAATGAATACATGTATTCATTCTATCTATCTTTACATTTGAACTTTGGCGATTGAGAAGATAGATCGAGGGATTAACCTCAGTTTAGAACACTTTTTTTCCATTAAGCTCAGCTTTAAAATTAAATTGGTTTGCACCACATTATAAACCCGGCTTACGGCATTCAAAGCTCTCGGCTTAATTTAAGACGTCAACTTTGGTGGCTTATGGTATTAAGCCGTGAATTCTAACCTTAATTTAGTCGAATAACAATTTAAAAAGTTAGCGAAAATAAAATAAATTCTTATTTTACAAAACAATGGATATCGAAGCTTGTTTTGATATGTTTGAAGATGATTTAGATATCCTCGAGATAATTGAATTTGGATTTCCAAAGAGAATATAGATCAGAAATAATCTATTGGAGGACTTGGACGAACTAAGGTTTTTGAAAAGATTTGTACAATAACTACAGTTATTACAGTCAGTATAAAATAAAATTACAATATAAAATTCTTGAATAAAAAATGGTTTAAAATATGAACGTTAGGTTCAAAAACACTATAAACGCAAGGTTCCTAAATTGGACAATTTAGGAACCCTGCTCTAAACGTGTTCTAAACTGAGGTTAGTCCCTCGAACTATCTTCTCAATCGCCGAAGTTCATATGTAAAGATAGATAGAATTAATACATGTATCCATTGTATTATGGCAGCAAAAGATCATAATATCACATATGGCAAACAGATACTGCTTGACACCGACTTAACAAAGCCAACAACATATTGGTACAGTGCAAGCCGTTTAAGCCGAGCTTAATTTTTAAGGTTGGTTTATGTAAGCTTGGCTTTAATATAAAACGTTGCAAACAGTCCTTAGTTATGAATCCGACTTGTTCATTCGTTGTCTAATTTTCTTCAGAAATAAGACTGTTTACTTTGACTGTAAAACTCCATTCCGTTTGTTATGCTTTTGGTTAAATATAGGCTGATGAACTAAATTGAATTTGCAAAAAAACAAATGCCATAAACGTTCCTACGTAAAACTGATTAAACATATATTTACAGTAAAACCAAAGAGCAATCTATCTCAACTATTTTCTTTTGTTTTTGGATTCTTGAAAATATGTTACAGCTTTTCCTGTGCTTCAAGTACTTCTGAAACACTAATCATACTTACTCCCAAGGCCATAGCATGACCAATTCCAAACTTTGGAACATTTCTCGCCCACAATGGCTTAAAGTGGTCACTAAGACATATTTTGCCGCCTCGGTACATTTTAGCAGTTTTTCCATCTAATTCTGGGAGTGCGATTTCAGGGGCAGTGGTTGGATATGTTACAGGAATCTTAAAAAACAAGAACCGTAAGTATATGTTGGCCACATCTATAACTAACTAATAAGAATTTATACGTAAGATACTGAAAAATTACTGTGGCTATTTAAAACACGACATAATAACGTAATTGTATGTATAATTATGCAATGTAAAAAATCCTGTTAATATTTAACAAAAGAAAACATCGAAAAGAGAACTTGCTTATCGATTACAAACTATTTGATTTGGGAATTTTATTGAAATTAAATTTACAAATTAAGTCTTGAAAAAGACCAAATTTGCTCACGTGCATTATTACGGATTGATAACGAGTACCTTTTACAGTTTAGCATACTTGGAGATTAATCTTATGGATTACTTAAATGTTCCTGAATACTTACGTCGAATTCAACATCAAATTCATATTTGAGTTGTTCATGGAAGAACCAGCATTTACCAAACCATTTCGTACCTTCTTTATTGGATTCCAATCGAAACCAATCGTTGTCTGCAGTCTTATTATTCTGAACATACTGAAAAACAAAAAATAATACTTTGATTTTTGAATGTATACTAGTAAACATATGGCATATGTGAATATCAAAGAAGACTGTCAATAATTACCTTAATTAACGCTTGATATTCCTCTTTTAGGCGTTCAACCCATAACTCTTTATCCCTGGGTCCCGCTTTCGTTTGTAAAAGAGGAATACTACTCAATGTTTTACGTGTACCTGCATCAACCATTTTCAGGCTTAACTTAACCTCACTTTAAATGTTGTCACGGTCAAACTAACAATTTCAATCAGACATTTGTAAAAACGTCAAACGCGTCTATTTAATTTTATTGTTGTATACCAAGCTTCTCTGTGGATGATCATAAGGGCGAAAAAAAAAATTTTTATTAAATGGGAATCATTTCAGAGTATACAAATATGGGCATTACTATTATATTGTGAGAAAGATTTTGTAGTCAATTCATAATAGACATTTTTAAGTATTTTTTAATTTTTTGCAATAAAGTAAATCAATAAACTTTGTAATAAAGTACTTGTCTCTGCTTTAAGCCTTTTTTTATTGTGTGGCGTATCATAGGCGTATCTTTCCCTATGACGTATACAAATGCTTCGAGTGGAACTATTTGATACTTTTTTCCAAAATTTTGAATTAACTTAGATTTTAAATTATCATTTACTCCGTATGCGTCATCACAGAGTAACCTCTGTGATCTGTGTTGCAGTCTTTATCTATGGACGCGCGCTAAATGACATATGACATTGATTAAAGAAGAGATGAAGTTTTTGTTTATGTATGTTTTGATTTCTGCTGGACTTTTCCCAAACATATTTAATATATTGAATTACAATCCACTAAATATTGTATTTTATCATTCTATTTAATAAACTCAATTCAAATTACCTAATCATATCGTGTGTGGAAATTTCATGAATGTTGAGTTATGGACACACAAAACTCACATCTATTAACTGAAACTGAGATTAATTCTTGTCCCAGGAAACACAAAAAACATAAAAGGGACAAGGAAGATCGTGACGATAAGCCCCAGCTCAAACTAATCTTAAAGGTGAGTATTGTTTGTAATTCTAGCTTATGGTCCAAACACATCCAAGATATGAATTTCCATTACTAATTAAGTATTGCTTTATTATTACCTGAACAAAATCCATTGCCTTTCTGGTCTCTCCCTCATGGGAAGGTCTTAGGGTTTTTTATTCTTGTTGAAAGACGTTTTGGAAAATGTATAACAATCCAATAAAGTTGCAGCTATTTCAAACAAATGTACTGTAACAAAACAACTGTAGGCAAAGTAGGTATTCTTAAATATAATTTTGAAAACATAAAATAATAACTGTAAAACTATCTTTGAAGCAACTACTAATCGTGTAAACTTATGGCCAGATATGATTCTTTAATTTTTTATGTTTGCCTAGTTCCTTCGTATCTGTTCAACACTCCAGCTATAAACATTTTCATTGCATAGTGCTAGATATTCAAGTGCAACTATTTTAATTCTGTATTCGTGAGCAAAATTTATTACAATAGGCTCGTTCTTTTTGATTTTGATATATTATTTTTTATCATTAATTTTCAATTAATCCTTAATCTTAAATGAAAATGTACATATTTCCTCACAAGGTAGTCCAAGTCCTCACAAGATCGTTCTTTGGTAAGAGGCCCTAAACTACAACCAAAAAGTATGTAGGATTATTTAACAAATCTCTATAAAACACTTATAATAATTTGTTAAGTTAGTTAAATCTAAAATATTAAGGCGTTTTTATTAAATAATAACACTCGATTACTATGTGGTCTGGGTCCCATTTAGGAATACCATCTTATATAAAACCTCAGATTTTTATATATGCTGTTAAGATAATACTAATTAAGAAATAGATAGATTAAACTTTGTTTGGTGGTGGATTGCAGGACAGCGGCAAATAACTAGTAGATATCGCACACTAGCACAACATTTTAGACTATTTTACTTTTGTGATATACTTAATAAATTATAATTATTATTATTTAACGACTTTGCGTCTGGATTGAAAGCTACTTTTATTATCTAAAAATGGAGGACGTTTCGACCATTTTATTCGGGTTTTTTCTCAAGGCTATTTTTGATATTTAATTAAAATCAGTCAAGACCCATTATGGGAGTCCACCAATGCTGGTGTTATGTGTATTTATTTAATATTAATAGTTAAGTAATACTGGTAATTAGTACTACTATGAACTCAAAGAGAGAAAGACCCGAGTAGAGGGTCGAAAAGTCGTCTATTTTTAGAGAGTGGAATGAGTGGACACGTACTTTATGCAATAAATTATTTTAATATTTTTAGTTGCTTCGTGTATACTCTACAGGCCATCCTTCTGATATAGTTTTTTGCAAATATCTCAGTTTTAATAACTATTTTTCCTGTACTCTCAAAATATCCCCAGACAACCCCTCCAGAGGAATGACGCCAATTTTGAATCACCCTGTATATTTGTTGGGGCTCGTATATCATTGAGATGGTGGAAATAATTCCTATAGCTTTTTAAGTAGGCAAAAGGTTTCCATGGTTAGGCGAATGCATGATAAGGGATTGCACTACTATTTTGGTGTGGAACTCTCTCAACTTGTAATTATAAATAAATAACACTCAATTTTTACCTCGACTGCATTGTATAGAACTTTCTAAACGCTACCTACTTAAAGCAACAGCCAATTATTTTTTTTATCAAGAGCACCTTGTGTATTTATGCATTCAAAATATATTGAGTACTAATAATTTTGCATGAATTCACAACAAGTTTTCCTTTTTTAGGCAATGTCTGAAAAGTATGCATGCGTAAGTACATTTATTCTTAGTTTCTAAATTAAATCATGACACATTCCTCTCAATTATCATTGTTTCTCATGGATAATTTCAACATACTAGTATGGTTTAGGTTGGCTCCAATAATACCCCTGAGCACGAAGATGATTATACTCGAGCTGGAGTGTCAATCTTGAATGAGGTCGATGATGCTGGATTACTGATAGGCAAGTATCAATTCTGCGAATAATTAATGGTTTTCAATGCAACTTGATTGGAATTATATAATAAATCTATTTCCAGATCAAAATGATCCAACTTATGCTCTGTACCGAGCGCATCATAAGAAATCCAAAAAGAAAAAGAAGAAGAAGGATAAAAGCAAGGACAAAGACAGAGAGAAGAAACACAAACACCATCATAGAGAGAAAAAGCGAAAAAGAGATGAAATGGAAGACGGAGAAAACATTGAAGGTATGCCTGAAGTTCTATGTTAATTGTGGTCTTTGGAAAAAAGTTATTTGTTTTAAAAGACCACCGGGCACCGTAAATATGGGGCTGATGTTTTGTGGTTCGTGAAGAATTTTAGTTTATGCATTCGTATGGATATGTTGAATAACGTCCAAAATTTTGCTCCAAAATTCATTCATCCATTGGGTTTGGCCGCAATTAAGGGTAATATTAAAATGCGTTTTTCGATAAGGCAAAAACGAAAATTCTTATGATGGTACGATATGGCGATAGAGTTCGAACTCAACAAGATATGTGTGTTTTATTTGATAATAAATATCAGAAATGTATTAAACAACTTAGTACTTAGTCAGCAAATATGAGAGATAATTTTGAGATACTGGCTTTGTAGAAAATAAGCCAAATAATGGGCGCCATGTGATCAGTGAAAGTTTAAACTGAACGAAAAATTGAAAAGAGTAGAAGCATTTAAGTTGCAACTGTTGATGCGCAAGCTTTTTGAATCTACTGGAATTTGGGATTTGTCTGGTAATCACTGGTAAAGACATATATGCGGACACATATCTGTTCTAAAGTACATTCATTTTCGCATAAAGCAAGGATTTATTCATAGGGACACGTAGATCCGCTTTATGTCAGGTCACCATAGTCATATTGTTATAAAGCTTTATAGTTTCAAAAATAGCATCTTTATAAAATACATCTGACACACGAACTAAGCGAAGACGATCCAGAACAACCAATTATATTCTGTACAACTAGTGGTGTGAAATTCGATTACTTTTGAATACTCGTCCCGACTAGTTACTTTTTGATTCAATAGTCGTTGCTTCGGATCAGTCAGGCGCACTAATTGTCAAGTTTTCATTTGCCACGTTTGGATCTGGATATTTATTAAACCTTGTAAAATTCCGATTTTTATAGAAACTACTTTTTAAAAACTGGACATGATATATAATTTGAAAGGAATTTTGATAATCTTTTAGATTATTCGATACGGTGTTCTATAAAAAAAATCAACTTTTTTATTGATTTCAAAATAGAAAAGTCGATTAGCCTTAGCGACAGCGGTAAAACTACTCGTTTTACGCGGCCCTGTATAATGCAGAACATACTTCTCTATACAAAACGAATACACAGTACAGGGTGTCTCCTCATAAGTTGACACCTCCATAGATCCTTTATTTAAAAAAAAAATGTGAAACATAAAAGGTGTTTAATTTTACTAATTTTTTTTTAAATCTGAATTTAAAATAAAATTGTAAAGCACGAAAATGTCAAAATTTGACATAAAGCCTGTTTTTTTATGAAACACCTTAAGTACATATTTTTAGACAGGGCGTTCGGATATTTTTTCCCTGATTTCGGAAGTATATACAGGATGGTCCTCAACTAATGTCAAAAAATTCACTGACATATTGTATAGGCAAAAATATTGCGTTGTAGGCAAATTTGTCTTATCCGTAAGTTAATAGATTCCGAGATACAGAGTGTCAAAGTGTAAATAAAAACTTCGTTTTTTCTGAATAGATTTTTAACCGGTTTTACTAGTACCACAAAAAATTGGTTTGTTTTTTTATATCGGCAAATCCAAATTCCCTATTGGTTGGTTTGTAGTTTCTAGAGAGCGCTAGCTGAAATAGTCTGGAGCCATTTAAAACATCAGATCCAACTTTTATTTGCGTTTATTTTTCATTTTGTACGAAATCACATATAAATAGCCAAAGTCTTGAAGTCGACTTATCCTAATTTTAGACATGGACACGTCTCTCGGAGTGTACCCTTTGGAAGGCTCACCAAATACTCATCGGGAACCTCGAACTTGTGTCATTAAGAAGATTCAAGAACGAACGTCTTTGTCTAAAGCATTAGACCATCTTTTGACAATGCTGGAAAAAAAGGACCCGCAGAATTTTTTTGCGTGGCCTGTTACTGACGCAATTGCTCCCGGTTATTCCAAGATCATTTCAAAACCCATGGATTTCAGTACTATGAGACAAAAGGTCGAGGATGGCCAGTATAATAATTTGAAGGTATGTTAAATTGATCGATTGTAGATTTATTCTGTATCATTACCAATAGGATATACGAGCCTTAACAACTATATGTTCGGACGACGCCCAAAATTCTCATTGAATAATCATAATGTTTAGTTTACATATATTGTACCGTGGATGGCCGGGTATCAAACTCTTTCTTCAGCTTCCAACTTTTATTCAACTCGGTATAACTTTAAATACGGAACAGGAACAAAGTAACTTCAAAATTACCGTCAACTTTACAAACAATAACAGACGGAAAACTCGGTCTTCCGACTCGCGGGGTTTAACGTCTTTCGCACCCGGTCGCTGCTGTCACTTCACTGACTTGCTGTGGTTCTCGTCGCCGCTTATGTAGTTTCCCCCAGGTAACCCAGACGGTTCTCGAAATCTCCAGCCCAGGTGCGAAATCTCCCGCTTGTCAGTATCATATTTGACAGTAAATGGGGCGCAAATTGGACTCCCATTTACTGAAATACCATGAATTTCGATCCCCCCATTCCAAACGTGAGTACCCCAGGCCATTTCCGTTACAATATGTTTTAAAACTTTGTATCTCCACACCAACACCCTGTATCTGCTTAACCATGGGCCGGAGAAAAAAWCTTGTGCTCTGTGTACATAAGGTTGTGAATCACCCTGTATACCGTGTTATTCAAAATTSGCGTCAACTTGATTACTTTAACCACCATAATGGACAGCTACGCATCTGTACGCAATGAGTGAAATGKTTTAGTTTCTACTCACTGAACATCGTYCGRAAATATAATTGTTAGGGCTCATATTATTATCAAATCAGAAAAATCGGTTATTTGTTAAGACTAAATAAAAATGGTGGTCAATTGGAATGTAACCAGTTGTATTTGTTCTTGGGATAATAAAATATGATGTGGAGTACATATCTTACAAAATAATATAAGATTTTCTCTTATAAATTTTTAACATTCAGCAAAATTGCTTAATTTTGCATAATCTGCTATTCGATTTCCGATATTTACCAAATCTCTTATTAATTCAATGCAAAAATTTTCATCAAATAAATCATTAAAGAGAAGTTGGTGATATTCAAGAAGCGGATGAAAATACATCACAAGACTACCGTTTGAAAAAAGAGTAAAAGCTCGTTCACACGGTGACCTTAATGTTGTGACGTGAATTCCACAACAATGTCATTGTCTGAACACCCGAATGTCTCAATATCATAGTGCCGTGACGTTAGTGTCACATATCAAAATTATTTGATATTGGTTGATTGATAGTGATTGTCGCACCGCGACATCGTGAGACTGCCACACGTGACATTTTCACATTTTTTAAAGGTTATCAATCTTTGGTGCGATATTTTCATTTGGTTTGGTTTTAAATCATGTTCTTTTTTGATCTGTTTACATTTCTGGAATATTACCAATCATACCCATGCCTATGGGATAAATCAACTGCCGATGATAAGATTAGACAAAAATGTCCCCTTAGTATAGTTTCGGATGCCCCTAGTTTGTTTCTACGCATAATCCACTGTCTCATTCATACTCATTTTTTCGCGTCAATTTCAAAATAATTACTTCTAACACATCCGCTCCTGCAGACAGGAGTTCTGGCATTTTGACAAGTGTCTGTCGCGGCGCAATGTGTTGGTGAGTGAATGTCGAAAGCTGTCGGAATTATATGTTATAGTCATCGCTGTCACCGTCTGAACGAGCCTTAACGAGATAATCAGCCCTGTGCTGTATCACTTACGTTAATTTTAACGAGCATGTTATCCGTCAAACACGTTATGTGGCTCGAACTGGTGTGTTTTATCAGTGAAACCGTTATATTATAACGGGCACACGCTATCGACGAACGTTATATTAAGAAATAGTGCTTCAGAATAACAGCATCAAATCACATGCCGCTTTCGAACTTAACGTGCATCCCTGGAAGTTAACCTTTGCGTAGTTTTGTGTTTTAGCTGTAATTTGTTTTTAATTTAAAACAAAAATATGCTTTTTGGTGGTTTTATAAGGTTAGCTTAATTAGAACAGAAGGAAGCGGGTGTGTACACACTGAAGTGATTGAAAATCCAAAGGGAATGCATACTTCTATTATAGTGTATATAATCGGAACTGACGTTTAGAAGAACTAACCCAAACTAAACTTCAACCCCGATTATACGCACTATAATACAAGTTTGCATCTCCTTTGATTGAATTTATTAGAACAATTGGTAAATGGTCTTCAAAATAAACCTTATTTTCCTCCACAAACACTAGTAAACTTTCTAATTGTTTGCGAATTGTTTTTTTTTGACTCTTCTATGGATGCTCCATAGAAAGTGTTTGAGACGTAGGTCAAGAATATTAACGAACGAAATTTAAAGTGAATCCTGAACTGTTAAGTTGCCATAATGTGTGGCCGTTAAAAATAGCATTTATGATACAGCACAGGGCTGAATGTCGTTGTCCTCCGCACAAATAAGCAACTTCTGGTTTATCATCTTCAACTTTCAACTTCTACTTGCGATTTTTTTGCATGTCCCATTATGTACCCAAAAAACTGATATGTTCTGGTTATTTCATTACAATATATTTGATTTGCATTTAAGAAGTGTCACGGTCTCTTGTTATTTACCCCGAAAAATATTTTAATCAAAATATATATTTTATTGAAATAAAAATAATGCACAAATCGGCTCCAATAGTTTTTTTATATTAGAATTGCATATTTTGTAGGAATTTACAGACGATTTTCACCTGATGTGTGAAAACGCTATGAAATACAATCACGCCGATACTGTATATTATAAAGCAAGCAAAAAATTATTGCAAGCTGGACAAAAAATATTGCAGACAGATAAATTGGGCTGGCTTTTACAGGTAATTTTTAGAATCTGTTTTGTTGGCTTATGATTTACATTTATTTATTTCAACACTCATAGGGCTGCTCACTTTTACAATGACAATTATAGTGCAATAAAAACGTATTTTTTTTAAGATCGCACCAGAGTTAACAGAAGCTGAACTAGGCTTTGAAGTAACTCCTGAAATGCGTGCCTCGGTTAATAGACCCGATGATGCAGAAACCCAGATTAAAACTGAAAATAAAGAACCTCCAACACCCGAAGAAGTAAGAGTATTTGCAATAAATTATTGCATTTAACAGTTAGATATTATGATTTTAGTTGATTCTTTGACATCTGAGCTTAATAACAATGCTAATAATTTATTTTATTTAGATTCTAGCTCAAGCCAAAGCTGCTGCTCGTTTAGCTAGGGCTCGACTGAAAGGTTATGGACCTTCTATGGGATACATTAGATCACGTCGAGAGGGAGTTGCTCAACTGGCAATTCTAGTTGGAAACAATATGGGCAAGAAGAAAGGTGTCGCACCTCTGGGATCCGTAGTAGGACGATTAGCAGATGGAACCGCACATTTGCAGGTAAATCTTTAATTGATTTAATGGTAAATATTAGTCAGTGTAGTACTATTTGAGGAAATTTTACAATAATCTTTGGTTCTGACAATTGGTTTCATGTAACATTTTGTTATTGCTGATGCTCTCAGATTCAACCAAAAATATTTAGTTAATTCTAATATTACTCTCTACTAAAATGTGTACATTTTCAACAATAAAAAAAAAAATGTTTTACTCTTATGCTAGGGGTTTAGAGAGGATCGGAGAAACACGGCTCGAGCAGTCAAACCGCTGTATTATGGAGCTTTTGGTTCATATGCACCCAGTCACGATTCGGCTTTTGCTAACCTGACTAAAGATGAATCAGCATTAGTCATGAGAACTTATGGAAGTGATCAAGCTGTTCAATATGCGGAGTCTGTACAAGTACGTGTGGAACAATTCATAAAATATTGTTTTAATAATATTTTTATAATTAATAATGAAGTAAAGTTAGAGTAGATAAATCTGACTAAAACAAGCAAAACTAATATGAAGACATTTTCAGTTATTACTTTTTAATTTAATTTACTTTATTAATTGCAATAAGCATTGCAATATTTATTGCAATACAGCAATAAATACCCGCTGTATACAGGGTGATTCAAAATTGACGTTATTCCTCTGGGGGTGTTTAAGAAGTACAGGAAAATTTGTTAAAAAATATTGTTATTTAAAACTGAGAATTTGCAAAAAACTATATCAGAAGGACGGCAACAATATTTTTCAAGGTAATTTGCTTAATTAACATTATCTAAATACCTGTTGCTTCAATTGCTAAAATTTTAGAAGATAACTTTTTTAATGTGTAAAATTGTCGTAATTTGAAGCAAATATCGAAATTTTTCTTTTCGAATACTTACGTAGTCCAATAGGCTACCAATCACACATGGGAGCATTTCAAAATAATGCATATTAACAAAATTTAAAATCGATTTTCAACTTAATATCTGTTAAAATTTTCGAGAGAAATGTTTTCAATTTTTTCTCGAACTGCAAAATCCCCTATTACATCTTAGAAGTAATGAACCCAATTTTGAATCACCCTGTATAAATTATATAAATCCTTACTGATATTTGCCAAAGATTCAATTGAGCCCAGTTTCGAATTAACTTAATACATAGTTACTTTCACAATTTAACTTGTAAAAGTCAGGTAGTTTTGAATTGTCCCAAAATTGTCTTTGATTGACAATTTATATCACACGTTGACATAAATTGTTTTATTACAACGTATTATTTCCAGGACTTTGTGAAAGGATGCGATTATGCAGAGTGTTTGGTCGATTCATTATTAGATCTGCTAACTGGAGGTGACCATAGTAAAACTAAGACTAGCCTAGAGGAAGGTAAAAGACTTAAGGGTAAGTAATCATCAAATTCGTTTGATTCAGAATTAAGCAATTTTAAAATATATACGTTAAACACGTGCCTAAAACAACTATTTATATTTTATTTATCTAGATGAAGAAGAAGCCGTAAGGACTGTGTTAGAAACGCCTCCCACTGATACAGTGAAAGTTAATGTCGATGAGCTAAAATCACTTAATGGTTTGTACTATTTCAAGAATATTTACTCCATATACCATATTGATATACTCGTATATATATATATCAGTTTTAATGGTAATCCGAATGCTTCCTATTTAGAGTTTGGTATTGACGTGAAGTTCCTGGACAGTATGGAAGACGAAATCAAACAAACTGAAGAGCAACATGAAATGCAACAAAAACTGAACGACATGTGTCAGTTATTGGAAAAACTGCAGAAAACACAGTATGAAAGGTAATTTGTCATTGCTACAATTTATGTTTATTGTGGATTCATAAAATCTAGTTTTGTTTAAACGGTCATAATGTACTGGCTTCAAGTACTATACAGGGTATCCGACCGGGAACCGCCGCGATTGATATCTGGCAAACTGTAATTAGGAGAAAATTGAAAATTGGACAGTGTGCCAGTCATTGGGGGCAAGCCTTCTAAAGTATGAGATAAAGATGGTCACACTTCCGGTTGAGTTGAGAAAATCGCCCAAAATATTTTTTTTCAAATGGAAACCCCAATTTTTCATAATTTTTTGTATTTTTCATTGTAAAATTGGACGACGTCAAACTCTCAACCCTTATTTTGTTAGAAGAGAATGGAGAGAAGTAAAATTCCTTAAATAAAAATCTTAATACAATTTACTCACCATTTTTTCTCACTGCTGGGGCTATTTTTCTCAATCCATTTTTTCGATGGGTATTTGCGGACTTCCTTAATTAAAATGTCATTCTCATTCGCTAGAAAACGAGCCATTTCCCCAAAATCGTAGTTGCGACTCCGTCTACTAGTTGATTCGCATAAGCTGCGAGTCGATCGAAACCGTTTATGTGGAAAGTGTATTAAAGGTAGAAGGCGCGGTAGAAACCCTTCTCTCGCATGCACATGGAGACATCGCCACTCTGCCGGCGATGACGAACGAGAACCTTAACGTTCCATTAGGTCGGTCGTGTGTATGTAGCAATTCTTTAGTGGTCGTCGTACGGAGTAGACGTGTCCGCGAGTCCGGAGAGGCAAAGTGCGATAAGCGAAATAGATATCATTCTACGCGAGGTTAACCGTTAAAATATCGTGAAAATGTGCGACGAAATAAAGGCAATAGAAACTCGCTTGGGCCAGATTAATAAAACTGATGAAATTGCAGACCGGAGTGAACAAATTCTCTGGGTCCTTCAGAATGAACTGAAGAACGCAGAAAAGGTCATCATCTACTTGCGGAGACAAATAGCTAATATAAACAAAAAATCGAATAATCCTTATAGCCCAGTCAATACGGACGAAGAAGAAGATATAGTCAACCGGGAGACAGCTTGGCTATTACTTAAACATAAAAAAAGAAAAGCGTCATCATCACCACTACAACCAAAACGAAGTCCCATTGAAATGGGACAAAAGATACAGGCGAAAATTCGAAGGCCACCCCCGGTGCAACGAATGATGGATACGCTGGATAGTATCAATGATAGACTCAATATTTTGGAGGCAAAAGCAACAGGAGCTATTCCAAAAAGAAATAAATAATGAAAACCAAAGAAATAAGAATTGTTACCTGGAACGCCAATGGTATAATTGGTAAAAAAGCCGAACGGGAAGTATTTCTGCATAGTCAACACATTGATGTCTGGTTAGTCTCAGAAACACATCTCACCAATCAATCATTTGTTAAAATACACGGTTACAAATGCTATCATTCCATCCATCCCGACAACCAAGCCAAGGGAGGAAGTGCCATTTTCATCAAAGAGTCAATTAATCATCATGAAGAACTTCCAATCCAACAGGTCCAATCCAACACGACTAACTACAGTAGTAATAAAAACTACAAAACAAAATTTTAAAGTTGGAGCCATTTATATACCACCGAGATATAATCTTAAAATAGACGATTATTCGTTTATATTAAGACGTATGGGAGAAAGATTCATACTAGGAGGAGACTTTAATGCTAAACACGTAGATTGGGGCGCAAGAATAACAAATACAAAAGGAAAAGCGTTGAGAGAAGCTATTAGAAATATGAGCGGTAACTTTCATTCCACAGGAAAACCAACTTACTGGCCGGCGGATAGGATGAAAATCCCAGATTTATTGGACTTTTTTATCTCCAGAAAAGTATCATCGAATTACATCGAAATTAAAGACTGCTTTGACCTTGAATCAGACCATTCAGCAGTAGTCATAACTATGAGTGAGAAAATCATTAAAAGGGAAGCCAAGCCAACACTCACCAACACAACAACGGATTGGAAGTGCTTCCAAGCTGACCTACAAGAGGAAATCACGTTGAACGTAAGATTTAAAACAGCCGAACAACTTGACATAGAAACCGAAAAATGTACGACTCTGCTGCAAACAGTTGCTTACAAAAACGCCAAAGAAATTACTCACATCACGAAAGGAGTAAACTATCCGATTGAAATTCGTATTTTAGTCAAGGAGAAAAGAAAAGCAAGAAGAGAAGAATGATGTCGCTAGAATGACGTGTTGGCAACAAACACGTCATCCTAGCGACATCATTAAATAGACAAACTCAAAAGCTAAAACGTGAAATTTACAAATTAAAACAGAATTCTCCAAATTCCTTTATTACAAATTTATCAGCAGATAAAGAAACTGAATATTCCTTGTGGAAGGTTACAAAGAAAGTTAGAAAACCAGTTGTGTCAATACCGCCTATTAGAAAGGGACTAGGCGATTGGGCTCGTGATGATCAACAAAAAGCGGATCTATTTGCTGAATATCTGGCAGGCATATTTGTACCAAACGACCTACAATACAACCAACACAATAACCCACCGGTTGCAGACAATATTTGGTCCTCCAATTCGATCGGCATGATTGCTCCTGTTACTCCGAAAGAAGTAGCAGAAGAAATTAATAATAATCTCAGCCCAAAAAAGGCTCCTGGGTTTGATTTAATTACAGGACAAATC